TTGTGATATTGGTTTTGAAAAAAAAAATGAAAACAAATAATTAAATCTATAATATACGTTCAGCTAACCATTAATCAAACTTCGATTTATTGTATATGCAATAATCTGTTTCCTGCTACTTTTGTTAAATCCCTGTGCATTGAATTTATTCCGATTGACTTTACTTGAGAACTGGAATTGATTAGAATAGCATAAATAAACTAAGAATTAGTTTTACAAAATTTTAATAAAACTTATGATTCATTTTTTTTACAAACAAAAATAATGAATTTAAGATTAATAACAAATCAAGAACAAGAACAATTATTTAATTAAAACAAAATTTGAACAATGATGATTTTCTAAAGTTTTTGTGTCTGTATGACGATGAACAAGCTTTTACATTAGATTTTGATGGCTAAATAAGAATAAAACGATAAAATATCAATAATATTTGTATTACATAAAAATGACTTACTTGTTCTTCAATCCACCAATTAATAATAAACTCTGATCCATTATTAGGTAAATAATATATTCGACAGAATGAAGTACCATATGTAAGGCGTTTTATTCGTGAAACAATTAAATCTGGATCATATCGAAATATTTGTTCTTGATTAGAAAATGGACCACATGAAATAAAAGATGCATTTAATAAATGTTCAAATCCATTTATTAGACGAATCATAACATATGTTGATGGGATATGAGATTTATATATTAGATATTTTGTAAGTGGAAAAAGACGAAATAATTCTTCAATAATATATTCATTATACTTATCACTAATTCTAATTGTAAGCTTTTGAATTTGTTCAAGAGAATAAGTAAACATTCGTTTTATTGCATGTTTTGTTATATCATTTTTAACAGAGAGTTCATATAAACAGGGTAGTTTTTTTGAAATTGGCATAAATTTTAGTAAATATTCTAAAGATAAAATTGATAAATGTTTAACTTGATTAAGATCGACTAAGCGTAATAAATATTTTAATGCAATTGAATATTTGAGTTTTAATATATTGATATTAGTGAAATACTCCTTGCTAATTTTACCATTTCTCACAGTAAATTCATTCACATGACTATAAAAAATCGTATTATCAGGTGCTGTTGAGTAATTAACTGATTGATAGGAAGAATCAACTTGTTCAGGAGCAAAATAAGGAATAGAAAATAGATAATCATTGTAATATGCGATAAACCAATGTTTTTCTTCAAGCCAAAATGATGTTCGAAAAGAATCAAGAATTTGTTCAATAAAATTAATACATATATGTATATCGAATTTGAAATAAAATGTGACTAAAGAATTAGTTAATGCTTGCCAACGTTGTCCATCCGTTAGATCAGCATAACCTGCCAAATGCAATTCAAGATGCCTCAGATAAAAGCAATTTGACAGAAAATATTCCATATAATCCATTGAAACTGGAAAAACTATAAAACACCGAAATAGAAAGATTTTCTCAATGTCATTTCATTTTTATACTAGAATTTTCCAAAAAACAATATTACTAATTAATAAAGTCATCTGAATTATTTGACAACAATATATAGAAATATAGAAAAAACTAATTGAAAATTTTGGTATTTCTAAAATTGATCTGTTTTTGAAGAATTTCAATAATGCAAGAATAAAATGAACTAGTAAGCTTGATAATTAATATAAATTCATGATCAAATGCCGAATAGATACAATCATATCAATAGATAAGTTATTGAAAGCATTTAGTTTTATAACATGATAAGTTGAAATTTGTAAAAACTATTCTCCAATTTTTGCATGATTACAAAGTAGAATATGAAAAGTTAGTTCGTTTTAAGCTCAAACTCAAATATTGCGGTACGTTTGAATCATTTATGATGAAATGAAGGAATAGTGTTGTCGACAACAAGGATTAGTGAGCTATTTTATCACTTCGATCTCATCTATATAATAATCAAGTCATACAGGAACAGATAAGCGGAGAATAACCGTTTTTAGTCTTGTTTTATTGAAATAATACTTACAGTCAATTTGTAGATTGAGTCGAGTAAGTCGAGTTGGTAATATGATAGATTGAAAATTCATCTCTCCAAAATTAATACAAACGTCAAGTAATTTAAGTTGTGGTGCTAAATAAGTAATTGTTTCGAGTTTATCGATTGAACAACTTCCAAGTTTTAAACATTGAAGGTTCGAAAGTTGTATCAATTCTAATACCCAACCACCATTTAAATTTAAAAACTTTAATTGAGGTAATATTTGAGCATAAGTATCAATTAACATTGAATTTATCTGTCGAAGTTTATTTCCAGAATTAAGATCCATTGGTCCATATGTATGTCTAATTGTAGAAGCATCAAATGAAAATGAACGTAATTGATTAAGTTTTGATAGATTGTAAAAAATAAAGTCTAACGATTTAAATTCAATTTTAATTAAAGTAAGTGATTGAAGTCGAATAAATTGTTCAATTTGAAAATAAGAAAAGAATAATTCTGATTCACCAGATGTATCATCACTATCACATAATATTAATGAAATAACTTGTTCAGGTCGAATATTGCGACAAATAAGATCAAAATTATATCTTGAAATTGATTTAAAATTAAGTTTATAAGCAGAATAAGATTGTAAAATAGCATTCATATAATCACTAAGACCATAGAAACTAATTAGGATTTCATGTCCAGAGAAATAATTAAATAAAATATGTAATAATTCTGCAGGTAATAAATCAAAAAAAGAATGATGATACATCATCATACACTTAGTTGAATATTCCAAATGATTTCTAAATTATAAAAGCAAGAAAATCATCAAACGAAAAATTATAGTGATTAGTTACAGGATCTAACACACAGTAATGTTGACACATTATAAGAATTTTCTTATCTTTGTTTTCCTCCACATACATCTACTCAAGCAGGATAGAGCAAAGATGATTAAAAAGGGAAGTAGAATATTGCACACTCACCTTATTGCTCGTAATAAATTATTGTATGTTATCTTGAAAATAAAGTGAGAATGAGTCACAACGGTATTTATTTATATTCTGTATTGCTTTGACAAAAGCCAGTTAATTTGTACAGATTGACACAAAAATATTTATACATTTTCAGACGAGCAATAAATCAATAAAGGAGATCGCCTAACAATGGCTAATCTCAAATGTTGGCACCGTTATCTGGTCTAGTCTGCAATGATTTACAACTCGTCTTGATGTAACTAAACGTACATCAGTCCAGAACGAGTTCACATCTTGTCATGATTAGTTCGTTTGGTCTGTTTACACTGTCTAGACTAATTAGTAAAATAAAGAAGAATAGTTGAATTGATATCTGACTAGCGGGAACTATTGTTAATAATAGTATAAACTAGTGGAGAGCACCATTTGTATTGTTTATGACTTGTTGATTTTTTAGAAAGTAATGCCAATCCTGATAAAAACCAGTCTAAACTCTTCAAACAATGCCTTTCTACTTCGACCTTATTTTTCAGACAACTAATTTAGACTGACTCATATTGGACCTAGACAGATATGTGATATAATGTAGTTAATTTTTGAACATTTGCATTATTTCTTTCAATATCTTTTCAATAATGTAGTGTCTTTTTTATTCATAAAAATATGAACTATGTTTAGAAAAAAACTATATCGAAATTCCTATATCGAATAAAAAAAAATCAGTTAATATCAAAGATCTACGTAGGGTTGACCAAAAGTTCTTAGAATAATATTTAAACTTTTATAAAAAAAAATTTAATATCGACAGGTTTATTCAATGAATTCGGATGTGGGTGTGGATGTGTGTGGGTCTGGAGTGTAGGTGTCATGTCCTCATCTATGCCATTATCCAGACCCAGACCCAGACCCACACACTCCCACAACATAAGTACTATGAAAAATTTGTGCGTTAAAATTGTTCGTTAGATAGCTGGTTTTCGATTATTTATAATCAAGGTTCAACATAAATGCTATCATATTTTTCATAGGAAAGAAACGATTCTCATTCACTAAGTTGAGACTTCAGATGATGTACCATATTTTGACAGTGATGGTTCCAATTGACGTGACTGATGGAATTCATTTCGTACACTGTGGAACATTTCATGAGCAATACGAGTTCCTATGGTAGGATTCGTTTGCATCAAGAGAAAAAAACTGATCAAACAAACATAGTTTTCCAAGTGCAATGATCTTTTTCAATGCTTTACTTTCGCTGTCAAAATTTAAAGAATGCGGCGTATAAAGGAACAAATAGTCTGTACGTTTGTATGTTTGTTGAATTATTATGGCCATTTGACGTATATTTCTTTGAGTTAAAATGTCACCGTTTACATCAAATAGTAAATCACAAAATAAATGATATACTTCATTCTCCAACATTGAATGTCAACAAAAAATGCACAATGCTGTATAGCTGACAAAAAGACTTGGAAGGAAAAATAATCCTCACATAATTTAGTAGCCCATTCTAACGTAAGCTGATCAGTCAATCGACGACTAACATTTGAACTTCCTCCTTTTCATCAGATGAATCAACATATAGTTTGCAATGCTTCTCATGTAATTCAATGTAATCAAATAGTCAATTTTATTTACTGATATTGTTCGTTTTCTCAATTTCTTCTATATGCATATTAAGATAGAAAAGAGAAGTAAAGACAAATATTCTTATACAAATCTAACGTGTTTTGTTTTTCTGTTCTGAGTTATTGATGAGTGTAAGTTTGTTCATGTTTTTATAAAGCATTGCACAATCTTGTAACAATTATAATCAATGTCAAAATTCAAGACTCAATTTTTTTTTCATGAAGCTAGATGTGGATCTAATGTTTTGTAGCACTTAATAGAACATATGAAATACAACACTCAGACATGTACATTTTTATTAGCTCAAGAATTGGAATGTGGATGCAGATGTCATAAAAGATCACCATCCACATTCTTACTTAATTAAAAACCATTGACTCCCATTGAAATGTTTTAGAAAGTTTATTTCAAAAGATCAAAAATCAAATAAGTCAATCAAATGAAATCAAATATCTGAAATACACCATTGAACATTGAAATTTGACTAAATTTTTCAATGCCACACCATTGAACGAGTCTTTCAATTAATTTTAATAACCAATGAATATTTTCATTATTTTTATTTGATCCAAATAAATAAATCCATCGTCGATATATTTTTATAACATTATGAGCTAAATAATGATTGTTAACTGATGCATAATTCGATACTAAAACATTATCAATTATAATTGTGCCTGATGGTGTTAATGGTACATAATAACCTTCTTCTATTGTTAAATAAATATTTCGAATTTTACCTAATATAATTTCATTTTTATACACATATTTTATATGATCACCTGAATGCAATTGACTAGCAAATATAGCATTGTTTACTTCTTTATCATTTGCTAAGAATATTAAATGATTAGGTGATATAAATAAAGATGTTGTAATATATCTATGATCATCAATTTCTATATTTATTAATAAAAAACTAAATGAACTATTTCGTTTTAAATGACTAAAACCTTCAATAGGTCCATAAATTAATTTATTTTCTTTATTAATAACCAATACACATTCCCCAATTTCTATATTTGATAAAGGTTTCATTAAACCATTTTCAGTTACAACGGTACTCCGACCAGGAAAGGGTGTGGGTGTGAGTGTGGGTATGGTTATTTAACAAAAGAAGACACCCACACCCACACCCACACCCCACCAGCACCCACACCCACACCCACACCCACGACAAAAGAACGATCGGTATTAAAGCTTACTGATGATCAAGAAAGAATTAAAAACTTGATTGATTCATGCGTAAATCAGTCAATTACAAGAAAAATTTTACTAGAAATTAATTTATACCAGCGAAAAAAAAAAATAAAATTAACGTAACTTTTTCAGTGATAAATCTAACCAATCAAACGTAAGTCGGTCATGTAGAGCAAAACTTAGGTGTACAATCACTGGAATCAATATTTCGTTTGTGTGCTCTTCGAAATTTTTATCTTGTTTTTGTTCATTTCAGTTTTAGCAATGTTTTATCGAAGAAGAACATTAACCTTTTGATGTCCTATTGATATGTCCATTGAACTTCTTGATGGTAAATATTTATTTCTTTACTTTCGGAAAAACATCGTCTTAGATATGAAAAATTCTGCTAAACATTTATTACTTTTGATTACTTTTATTTTATCAATTTCTTGCTCTTGCGTTAGTTCATCAATTTGATTGTCTCGTCGTGCATGCATTCGTATGTAGTTTGCAAGACTGGTATTCATAGTGTTCCAACTGACTATGACTTGTTATGGAAACCGTTGATATAATGACTGATAACATCTCAGAAATTCAACATGTATTTTAACGCCATCTTAAGGAACGAAAATATATAATAACAGACAAATAATATTTTGTTGTACAATCGTTTCATAAATTTGTTCGATAATTTGTTTCATGTGAAAGTTAGCAGCGAAAATACTAAACATGTATAGGGTCTTGCTGACAAGAAAACTCTAGATGTTCATGTCTTGTCTCAACGTATGTCAGCTTATGACTTTTTCAGTTAGAAATGAGAATACTGGTAACCGAGTTTAGAAATAATTTATTCAAAAGCGAAAGTATAAATGAATCTTGAGAGTGAAGATTAAGAAAAACCCTCACCATTGAGTGACATGTTGTTTTCTGGATATTCTTGATGTTTTTCGTCTATTTTTCGCGTTTGATGTCTCTTGTAATAGATGAGAATTTCTTCAATGAGGTTGCTATCGAAATATGTCAAGTACAAGTCAGAGACCGAAACGGGACGAGTCGAGGTGGAGCGATGAATAAAAATTTCGTCTCGTTTCGATCTCTTCTATCATTACCATAAGTTAGGAACGTAAAAAAAAAACGAATTGCAACAACTACCGTGCCAAGTAAATCATTTATCGAGAAAAAAACAATTTGGTTTTAGTCGTGGTTCAATGAACAAAAAATGAGTATCACTATTGATACAAACGTCATGGGAATGAAGCGAGTGTGTATATGATATGAACACTTTCCATTATCATCAATCAAGTCAATTTTCTCTGAAACGAACATTCTATACTACATCGTCATCGTCCGATTGTACATAGACAAATGCGCTGTTACATCGGTCAATGTATTGTAGGGTCATGCATCATGGACTATTCATTTTGATTGTTCTGTTTTTTTTTTCGACGAATAACTCATTGATAAATTGACCTTGTAACGATTGAGAATATGAACTGTTTTCTTTTTTTTCTACATATACATTGTTGCAGGTATGTCAATCATGAAGAGTTTTTCTTTTCAGAAGGGATCAAAAGAACAGTTCATTTGTTCGAGTTGAAAGGTATTCAGCCACATTGAGTGTGTACAAGAAAAATCTTGCAGTCATATTCCAATTTCATGATTAAAATTAATCTCCAGTAATTGAATTTCTTTTAAGTGATGATAATCCATGAACAACAGAATAGTTCGAAGAAAATATTTCTCTTTCTACTTTAGAACTTTCTATAACAATGAATGACTGTATGGTTTTGTCCATCGAAGCACTTCCCAACGAAGTATGGCTTAAAATATTTTCTTATATTCATATTGGCGATATTACTCGTGCTTTTCTTCGACTTAATAATCGTCTGACTAATCTCATCTATTCACTGCCTACGACTATTCATCACCATGAAATGGGCGAGTCTTACTATGACTATGACTATCGTACTCCTGTAACTCACATCAGTGTTCGTGATGGTCGTTCATTTTCTTATCATGTCAATGCTCAACATCTCATTTGGCTTTCTCTCGATCGACCATCTCCAAAACAATTACAATTTCTTCAATCAACATATTTACCACGTCTCAAACATTTGCATTTCAATGGAATTGGTACAATTAACAATGATGTGGTTCAATTTTATTACACTATCTTCAAGTCAACTCGTATCAATACTCCATCACTTATTTCATGTTCATTACCTTCGATTTCTTCATTCAATTGGAATTATTTCACTGGAGGAGGATCGGCAATAAATCATACACTTCGTTCGTTAACACTTATTGACGATTATCATCTTCAGTCATACAAACTCTTTCGTTCTGTACCAAATTTAACTCATCTAACTATCAAACGAGATGTAGCTCAGAACGAATCATTCATTGATATTACTCGACAATTTGGCATTAGTTGTAAACATGTTTTGATACATCCAGAGGATGGCAGAATGAAGAAAGTGAAATGTTGGCTCATTCCAAAAATGTTTACGAACTGGTTACCTCATCTTCGTCGATTGAAATTTGAATTCGAATTGGATCCTGATATGTGGAACTTTCGAACTATAATTGTTGTTCGAATAAGCTGGATACGAAACTCTTCTTATTTAGCCAAAATCTATCGTCTTGTTTGAAAATACTTTTGTTTGTTTGTTTGTTTGAAATAAATAAAAACATGAAGTGATATCTACTTTTTCTTTATTTACTGCTGTACTAAACTAAATTGACACGAGACATTCACTCACTGTATTATTAGAATTTTTTCAAGCATCATTGTCATTCCGAAAAGAAGAATCGAAAGATTATGACGAAGAAGTATTAATTTGATTGTTATAAAAGAATTGAATGTGATGTTCATTTTTCAACAATCGATGGGATTTGATTTGAAGAGGATTCTTTCGATCAATTATTAACTCTTTGTACCGAAAAGTTGAGAATGTTCCACTTCGAACAAGAATACAAACAAGAGAACCAAGTTGTCCTGCATTTCGAGTACGTTGATAGATGTTGTTTGTTTTACAAAGTTGTTGATCATTAATCTTTTGTTCTTGTCCATCGATTAACTCCAAAAAGAGAACGTATTGAAGTGGAAAGGGTGTGGGTGTGGGTGTGGGTGTGTGGAGTTTGGGAATATGCTTCTAATTATACCCACACCCACACCCACACCCACACCCACCCTCAAGATTTACCTACAGTCAAGAGAAAAAAATGGATCACTAGTGAAATACTAGACATCATAGAGAAGAAAGCCCAAGCATTTCAAGACTGGCAAAATAATCGCAAATCGAAAAATGCACGAAAGTATTATACCAAGTATTCTCTTCTTCGCAAAACGGCAAAGAAAGCGTGTGAAGATCGACAAAAAGAATACTGGGATGAACTGAGCCTCGACATCGAACAAGCAATCAAGCAAAACGATGCAGCAACTGCCTACGCAATGCTCAGAAGACTTCGAGGTGGTAAGGCCAAGATAGAAGATATGCCAATCTTCGACACTCAGGGCAAACTACTCACTAATTCACATGACCGTCTCATTCGATGGCGAGAATATTTCTACGATCTACTCAATGTTCCTTCATCTATCGATTCTTCTGTCATTTCAACCATCATTGTGCCGACTATCTCTACTCAAGAAGAACAACGACAGAACAAATCACCTTCTCTTTCTGAGATAGAACAAGCAATTGCCCGAATGAAATGTGGAAAGGCTCCGGGTATGGATGGAATCACAGCCGACGTCCTAAAAGCTGGTGGTCGTGTACTCGCTAGACGATTACAAAAACTATTTGTCGATATATGGGCAAGTGTGGGTGTGGGTG